TTTGAATGGCAATTTCAAAATTGATATAAAATACCATACCTGATATGGGATTTTTATATCACAATAATTTAATCAACTTTTTAGTAAATTTCAGAGACAGAATTGCGAGTTACAGAGAGTCTATAAGCTGGATTCTTGTGATTGTTCTGTATCTTACACTGGTAGCACTTGTAGACCTCTCATTACTCGCATTAATGAACATTTAAAAAGACCTTCCCTAATTGAAATTCTAAAACTTCACATATAATTAAGAATAAAAATTTCCTCAGACTGAACTTGTTCGAAGAGATGGAGATATCCAAAGAACTTTCTAACATGACCTCAATCTCCAACATGTATTTCGTTTCTCTATCAGGCAATTTCATACAATTCAAATTTTACAAATATACTATGTTCTCATATTTTGATACTTCTTGCTGATACTGCCTGATAAAGTACTCATCAACCGTTTTCCTAAATTCATAACCTCAAAATTCAAATTAAATTTCTTTTCAATTAGACGGTGGGATGGTAGCCTAGTGGGTTGACGTGGGTGGTTTGTCCCACTGACTCAATCGACCGCTCTGCGAACCGGTGGTTCCAATCGCAAGGCCGGACGATCTATTTTCACTTCCTATCGTCCAACACGTGTCAGGAATTACACGTTAAGAGGTAAGACCTCAATAATCCTCAGCTCGCACAAGTTTCGACTTTTGAAAGTTTTCATTCGAAGGAGAGCCAGAGCTAGTTAACGGAACCACAGATTTTGAAAGATTTTAACAGATTTAGTTCCAGGTGAGCACTTGATGACATTAATCGAAAGATTTTACAATTGACAAATGACAACTTCTACACAAAATTCTTTGATTCATTTATTTTATACAAAAAGTTCTTATGTGAGAATATAAGATTTTCAATTCTACTAAACGCAATATGAAAAAAACTATTCAATGTGAGGATTTGCGAATTTGAAGAGTTCAAATTTGAATCATATTCGAGAATTATCTAGATCCGGACAACAGATTTATTTCAATGATTATTAAACGAAACAAGAGCACCTGTAGAATGAACATGTTTCCTATTCATAATAAGCATCTGAATTAACGCACTATTCGATACAGTTCTAGATGCAAGCAAAGAAGGTCCAGAAAGGGACCGCAAGAAGGCAATCATAATACTTCGGTGCAATGCCCCGAATAACAGTGGAGGGGAATACAATTTTTCGTGAAGTTACTGATACCATAAAGAAAGAAAAAAGAAATGATTGTTTTTGTTGGAATTTGTGACATATTTCCCAAACGATATTCTGAAATGATGGTCATCTGCTAATTAATATTAACATTGGAAAATGAAACTAAGAAATTCTCAAATTCGAATATTTTTTCAGAATATATGATTTTTTTTTATACATTTTGTATATCAGTCAAATGAATCATTCTTAGCCTCGTTATCATTGAAATGAGATTTTCAAAAAACAACATGTTAATATTTCACCGAAAAGTAGATCGTCAAAGGAAATATAAAGCTCTGGAGAACAACCAGAATCCTAATGAAATCTATTAGAGGGAGTCTAAGATCAGTCAAGAACCCTAGAGAGCCTTCAGCAACACCGGGGATATATTATAGCTGCGAATTGGTTCACATTTGAACCACAAAAATAAGTATAATCACCCGCCTCCCTGAATACAGGAGAGAGTATTCCGCCTGGCTAACCGACGTAAATCAGCTTCAGCCTCAAAGAAGGCACCCACAAAAATCTTGTTCGAATAAACATAAGTGCTCGAGGAAACTTAGAATTACTACCCAAGGATATATAGTTAGGCAATGAATATCCTCAAATACAGATACAATTTCATGGGAATAATCATAAATGAAATCTGGCTACCTGTTTATATCTAAGTTATAGTAGTTGAATGTGAAGTATATTATAAGAACTTCGCCTCGATAATGTTTACCGCAGTCTTGGATGAAACGTCAAGCATGGAAACTTGTAGACCACGATGGACAGATCGGTGAAATAGGTTCGATATTATCATTTCTGGCCGTGAAATTTCACATTCTTTTATCAACCATAGATCGTCTAGCTATCACGCATGCATTTCAATGATTATGGCTTGCCATCAGGATGATGGCATTTTTCCACTTGAAGAACACAATGCCCTGAGAAACACACAGTTTTATAGATGTATGCTGCATACTGCCTACAAGACCAAGCGAACTGAATAAATCTTATCAACAGGGACTTGTTTTAATTTTTGACGACTGAAGCATATCACAGAAGAGTTGATAGGTACTCCAACCACCAGTTCGTTTCCACTAATAACTCGTAGAACTGATAATGTTCAGTACATAGCTTTTGTTATGTAGACCTGCCGAGCGACCACATACATATTCAATTCATGAAAATTTTCTAGACAAACACTCTGACTTCCACATTATTCAATTGAAACTAAATTTCAGTGGTCCCACTGACTTTTCTAGACACTACTCAGTGTCAGAATTAAGTGGTCCCTACCTCTTCTTTTCTCTCTCCTTCCACTGTTTCTCTTATTGATTTTGAGACTCATAAAAGCAAACCTAATCTACAATAAACTTCAGAAAATAATTGCTAACTAGTCTCCTCAAGTCATTTGTGGAAAATCCTGACACTCGTACGGGTAGTAATATGCAATTCCGATTATTGGAGTAGTAACATCAAATATCTCTACTAATTATTTGTTAGTTTCATGATCATTTCGTGTGAATCCTTTCATTTTAGGTTCATCTAGCTCTACTGTTCATTCAATTCCTACTTGATAAAATATTTCAACTAACTTTATCGTTCTTCAATATGAAACTTCAGAAAGAAACATCGATTCATGTGAAAATCAATAGAAGTAGAAGCAATAGTTGTTTTTGTTGGATTCTTTCTCTTTTTTTGTATCTTCAACAAAATATTTGTTGATGATCTACACCATTTCTTCAAAATGTGTAACCAGCCCTCCATGTAATGAAGAATTAAAAAAGAGTTTTTCACTTTTTAGCTGCTAAGCTGAATTCTAAGAGGAGATGGTGGTTGATCAAATCACCTCAACTGTTCTCCCTGTAACATCGGATGAAGAGCAAAAGCTTTTCAGTTCTCCAACTCTTAGACAAACATAAGAGGCTTAAGCCATGTGAGATAGTTCCCTGGAAATTCTTTCAGGTATTCAGGCCCTGATAGCAGAACACGTACTATATGCCTATCCCCACCCATACCTACCAGATCATATGTTTAGCGTTGGACCAACTGAACTGACCGCTCAACGAATAAAATAATTGACTTCGTTATGAAACTGGATTCATTTGATCGAGTTCAAAATATAAGTCATACTCTTAACCTTCAGTGGAAGTTCGAATTGACCTACTCATTTCAGACCTACCTACCTTCCATATCAGCTACGTGGTTCGCTTTTGGAATGATTTCGAGTACTGATCATGTCAATTATTCATGACGTTACGCAACGAATAATTTGTTACAAATATAAAAGTGATTTCTTCAACTCAGTATGGAAAATGTCTTCTCACTTAATTTTCCTGATAGATAAAGGCATGTTATTGCATTGAATGACAAAAAGCATCAGAAATAAGCCATGGCGGGTGTCTCGACCTAATTTTCAAATTTGTGATCAATGAATATATGAAAATTGTTCCACCTAGAAAGCCTAGTTCGTTTAATTTTCCTGAACGAGGGCCCCTTGACTATATTCATTTTTAAATATTATTTGCATATCTCAATGAGGATCTAGAGGTGACTTCGAATTGGGGTGAAAGTATCCAGGTTCAATTCAATGCCAAGAAAACCCAGGCATCGGTTTTCTCCAAAAAGCTAAATGTCTTCGAACCAGATAATAATACCAGGATAGACAATTCCGCTTTCTGTTTCGATAAGTTTGTTTGGAGTTAAATTGACACCAATATGTCTTGGCACAATCATGTCGCTGAATTACAAAGGCTACTTCTCAAAAGCTTAGAATACTGTTCCAAACTAGAAAACTGTACAAACTCCAGCAACTCTTGATGCCTTATAAAGCTCAGATCAGACCTTTTTTCGAGTAATTCTAACATGTATAAAGCTCCGCCCCTAAGCATACCCTGAAGCTGCTGAATTCCATCCAGAAAAGAGTCATCAGCGTGACTGAAGACACGGACATCACTTGCAACCTTGATAGTCTGTAACATCGAAGAAAAGTTGAAGATCTGTATCTCTTTGATAGATACTTCCACGGAAGGTGTTCAAGTTACTTGGCACATTCGATTTCACCAAGAGCGGTACATATCAGAAATACGCGAAGGACTGTGACTGCTCATCGTTTTGGTATTTAACTCAGTAAACCTCGAACTTCACTGTTCATGAACTGTATCTAGAATAAACTTCCTGAGAACGTTTTTCCATATGAATTCAATCTCCAGCGATTCAAATCCAACGTGAATATCTACTTCCGCATAGGCACTGCTCTGAGAGCGCCTTAAAGATTTTTCTGTAGTGCTTGTGTTTTGTTCTTGAAAAACATTTCAAGTTTGCGTTCGTTTTTTCCTAATCCACTCCACTACAATTACTACGGCAAAGGAAATTGTGCCTTCCAAAATGGAAAGCATATTTGTAGCAGTAACTTTGCTCTTCTTCGACAATGTGATGGTAAGATCTATTGAAGTGTATACTGTGGGCAATGCTGTTCTACTCCATGTTGAAAATATCTATCGTCGATCTTGAGATATGAATCGATCATTGTCATTATTATCATCATTGTGTGCGTTCTTCAAAAAGGTCCATTTTGTGTATTTTCTCTACGTGGGACCTCGGTCGCATTAACAACAATATTGCGAATAAGAGAAAACAATATTACGTTAATGTTGGTTGTTTCCTGAATCCCCAATCACGTCACCACTGTCTTGTATTCCAACAGGAACGAGCCCGATGCATGCGGGAATGAGGGGCACCCAGTCCTGATCAATACGTGGGGAACCGCCCCATTTACCCTGTCTCCGCCAGTTTGGCCGCATCTTGTTTGTCGTGTAGACGCGTATTCTTGGTTTTGCCGAGACCCAATAACCAGATCCACGACTTCCATTGGAACCGACAGTGAGTGGAACGTCATTTTTCATGTAACTTATCGGCAACATTCTTAAACCCAATCAGAAATTGGTTTGTTGATGATTGTGTACCGCTTCTGTTTGTTATTCAGTTTTTGTTTTGATACAGTCGGTTGTTTACATCGGTGGGATATCTTTTCACGTCGTAACTAATCCTGAGTTTGATTTGTGAATTGTGTTTGGCATTTCACAGTTTTTGTTTCATAGTTGTTTACTTAAAATTACATTTCTCGATACGTTTCACTTCCCGATATGTAATGAAAATGAAACTAGGTTATTGAGGTATATCTACATTTCTCAATCATAAACATCAAAGAAATTTTATAGTCAATGTATTACTTTTGTTGTTTTCCAAGAAATATATATGAGTAATTAGAGTACAATATAGAAATTCCTCTTCATCAATATCGATACAGGGCGTCGAATTTCAAACCACTTGTAACATTTTTATATTAAGTAGTACTCTAATAGCTCATCGAAAATTTTGATCTCTTACCAATTGGAGAGCAATGTTCACGAAATAAACTTGATGCAAATAATAAAATCAGAGACGTAGCAAACTATCTATCTATCTGTCTATGTATATATCTGAATTGTTGAAAACAATGAAGAAAAAAGGAATTACTAACACATATTTAAATGTTAATTTTCAAATAATACATTGTGGTGAAGTTTTTTTTCAAAACAGAATAAAATTTCACAAATTCCTATTGGACTGAACATATATGTTTTCTTTGGAATAACAAATAATATCCCTTTCAATGTTTCTCCGTTGAAGAAAATCTACATTTACAAAGATTATTTAAAGTTGTATAAATGTGAGTTGAAATATATTATAATTTTCATGAACATTTTCTACAACATTCTCCATCATTTGAACCCTATCAGAATTGGGTATGTTGATGACTTCTTGAGTACCACTGTGATTTATTAGGTTTTCGTTTTGATACAGTCACTTCATGACACTTGTGGATATTATTTTACTCAGTTATCCTTAGCTTGATTTGTGAATTATTGTGTTTGGAATTTCTTGGTTTCTGTTTTACGCTTGATTTATCAAAATTACCTCACGCGAAATGTTTCAGTTTCCGATGTGTATGGAAAATAAAATGTGGTTGTTTATCTTTATGTCTCTTAATCATAAACATCAAAGAAATTTTATAGTCAAAGTTACTACTTTTGTTGTTTTCTAAGAAATATATGTGAGTAATTAGAGTACAATATAGAAATTCCTCTTCATCAATATCGATACAATGCGTCGAATTTCAAACCACTTGTAACATTTTTATATTAAGTAGGAACGTCAGGAAATCGTCTACTGTCTCTTTTTACAAAATATGAAAAACTCATTCCTTTTTTTGCTATAGTATTTTACAGTAATAGTACAGTAATAGTAAAACGAAAATTATGAAAAGCTAACCAATTGGTGGAAAATCTGGATGAAATGAAATTCATGAAAAGAGATATAATTATTTCTGTTTGTTGGTTTTTGATAATCACCAAAACTTGAAAATGCTCAATAAATCCTACTTTCAGCTTGACAAATTTCAAGTAACTTATCAAACATTTTGCTTTTCCCATACAGGGTCATGTTATCAACAAATCAACTAATTGAAACGAGATTAATAAAGAGATGAATGAATGATTATAACACTGTTATTAGACTTTATTACAAATATAAAAATAAGTTTTCTGGTAAAATTATCTATGCCTCATATAGCCCCATTGAGGGCACCCCATTGCGTCACTTTTTTCCAAAATCTCATGGAATGTATAAAATATTTTTTTAAATATGACTACACTTCAAATCAACGGATTATTTTGTTGATTTAATTTTTTGTGGTGTTTTCAAAATTCATCTCATATTAAGAAATCTATGAATGCATAACAGAAATTATCGCTTTTAATTATTCTAGATTCTTTAAAACATACCTCCTACAATCACTCTCATGAGAGATAATACGACTGTTTAATGTTGTAGATGTCTGACAAATATATGAATTTTTGACACGAAATTTTGTAAATGATATTAGATTCATTTTTGTTTTCTATGAGTTTTCATTTTAGTGTGTAAATTTGATATCTGATCTGAATGTGACTATGCTTTGGATATTTGCAGTATTATTTTGTGGAATTTATGATGAGCTAGGAGATATCGTCATTTGTAGTGCTGAATGATAATTTGTTAACTAATTCTTTGAAAGATTCCTGATATAAATCTCAATAAGAGAGGAAATAAACAACTCTATTCCTTTCCTCGATATGAAATTATTGAGATCAGAACAAAATATTATCATCACTGAATGGTACAGAAAACCAACATCAAGTAATAGATTTATTAATTACCATTCCTATCATCCAAATAAAATGAAAATCAATTTAATAAAATCATTAAAAAACAGAATCATCAAAATTACCCATCCCGATTTACGAAACCAAAGTTTGTCTAATTTCAGTAAAATTCTGATCCAAAATTCTTATCCTAAATCTTTAGTAAACAGAATTTTATTTTGTGAAAGAACAAACTTTCAAAATAATAATGAAGAAGTTGAACATAACAACGTTATACCTTCATTCATATATAAATCACTCCCATATATTCAAGAATTGACACCAAAATTAATTAATGTATTCCGAAATAATAACCTCAAAATATCTAAAACAAATGTCACTTCTATATCTAAATTATACAGTAAAGTAAAAGCTCCAATTTCAAATAAACAAAAATCCAATTTAGTATACAAAATTTCTTGTATGGATTGTTCTAAAACATATATAGGACAAACATCTAGACCTCTAAGTAGTCGCATCACTTCCCATAAGAGCGACT